GTTTTAGATGAATAAAGCAATCCACAAAATATTATGTATACCATGTTGCAAGTATAAGAAATAAATGTAAGAAATGTGTAAGCATGTGGAAAGTAGTATGAACTTGGTTTATGGGATGAACGTGGTTTATTACAATAATTTTGAGATTTCTTAGTAGGTACATTTTCTACTCAATAAAAAATAATCTGAAAGAAATAAATATAGAACCAAAACACAGGAGACAGCATCTAGGGAAAAAACAACTTTCAACAACTGTGAAAAGTGTGGACAGGGGAGTGATAGCGATAGGTGGGCACGTGGGACAGAGGGAACGTCCCAACCTCAGGGATCAAGGCAGTTGGGTGAGTGCTCATTGTCCTAAAAGAGGGACCCTTGGCTGGTGCCATCTCTCAGTGACATGAGTGGACATGATTGCAAGCTGGAGAACGGACAAAATGACCTTTTAGAAGGCTCTACTGGCCCTGGAAACTTTATGATGTCCTGAAATCCTCTGGCTGGGGACAGTTTTTTCTCCTGAGCTGGTCTGGCCTTTTTTCTTTCAGAAAAACCAGGCAGATGCTGTGAGTCTCGACAGCGGTTTGGTGTTTAAAGCAGGCCAGGCCCCTTACAAGCTGAAGCCTGTCGTGGCCGAGGTCTACGGGTCCAAAGAGCGTGAGTTTTCCTGGGGACCCAGAAACCGGCCACACCTTGGAATTGGTCTGGGCTCTGTGGAGTCAGGGCGGATGAGCACGCCAAGGCAGGGGCTCGGCTGGCATCACACTTGCAGGCAGCCAAGTCGCTGGGCTTGTTGGACCAGATGAGGTCATCCCTCCTGATGCTGACCTTCCAGAAAGGACGGTGCCCTCCCTGGGGAGACAGAGCAGGTGCCCAGCTGCTCCGTACCAGACAAAACCAACGGCCTTCAGTTCCCTCTTCCTGCCTGCGGAATGGGAGGGGCGGGCTGTTTCTCTTCCTCTGGTTCAGGATAGGAGGCTCCAATCCTTTCTGCTCCTCTGCAGAGCCACAAACCCACTATTACGCCGTGGCTGTGGTGAAGAAAGACACCAACTTCCAGCTGAACGAACTCCGAGGCAAGAAATCCTGCCACACGGGCTTCCGCAGGTCTGCCGGGTGGTATATCCCTATTGGGACACTTCGTCCATTCTTGGAGTGGACAGGGCCACCTGCAAGTCTTGAGAGTGGTAAGATGGCTGCGGGATGGTGGGTGTCAGGCAGGGGTCTCCACTCTAGCTGCACACATAGGCCGCTTTGAGGTCACACAGTTGCATACTATCAGGTGACCGTGTGTGGTGAGTCCGAGGTGGGGTGAGGTTAAGCAGCTTTAAACACGCACGGGCAGGGCCCTCTGCACCAGCAGCCCTGGAGAGATGGCAGCTGAGTCTCCTCTCAGCAAAGCACCATCTCCCTGCGTCCCTAGCGCCACCCAGAGGCTGCCTGCAGAGGTGGGGGAAAGGGCGCTCTGCCCACAGGGATGTAGCTGGCTAGGGCCAGGGCTGGCTCCCTCTCTTCCATCCACTTTTCTGTGTTAAACAGCGGTGTCTAGTTTCTTCTCGGGAAGCTGTGTTCCCTGCGTAGATGCAAGACAATTCCCCAAGCTGTGTAGCCTGTGTGCAGGGCAAGGAGCAAATAAATGTGCCTGCTCCTCTCAGGAACCATACTTCGGCTACTCTGGTGCCTTCAGGTGAGTGAGACTGTCCACTTCTCCACAGCGCACCAAGCACCTAATGTCCTCAGGCCAGGAAACCCTTCTCTGGGCCCAAATAGAACACAGCCTTCTTGCAGGGACCCAAGAGGAGAGGTCCGGTTCTCCTATTGCTGTGCAGATAGGAAAACTGAGTCCAAAGAGGGGCACCTGCCTTGTCAGCGCACATTCCCCTCCAGCCCCCCAGGCCCATCTCTGGCCCCCCCGCACCTCACCTCTCCATCAGCTGGATGAGCAGTCTGCTCATCATGGCTCCCTCGGGCTCCCCACAGAACCCTGAAT